CCGACGAAGGCCACAAGACGGTTCCGAATGGTCTCGGAGCCCCTTCAGACCACCCCCAAGGGGCTAAAACCACTGACATTCCAAATAAAAGGTATGTGCTACTTCTCACCTTTTCGTGTCCGATGCGCTGTTGGGGCCTCAAGATGGCTTCAAGATGGCCCACGAGAAACACAAGAGGGGCCCAAGAGGTCCCCCAATCGGCCCCCAGACGCCAGAGCGCCCAAGATGGCCCAAGACGCTGAATTCTCGAATTTCAACGGGCGCTCAGAGATGAATGTTCTCGTGGCCTTGGGAACGTGGTTGGAGTTTCAACCGTCCCGCGTGTCCTGAGATGGCCCCGAGGAGTCGACCTGGGGCTCTCGGAGTTTTGGAAGCTCAGCAGGTCGCCCATAAGAAGCCAAACTGGCTCCAGCGTGCAGGTCGACTGCATGCTTTCTGCAAACTTGCACGTTCGGTCTTCGGTGCGTCCAGGGCGACCCAAGCCCCCAAGAGAGGCCCAAGAGAGAGAAAGAGAGAGAGCGCGAGAGAGAAATACATGAACAATCGACGAATGGGCCATTGAGGCCCCGCACGCCAAGATGGCACACGAGACCACCTCCAGGTCCCGAAGAAGCCACCAAGGCGTCCCCGGGAGGATCCCAGGAGGCCTCCAACTAGCCCCCCCGGCGCGCCCAAAAGAGGCCTCCAAGAGGCATTCGAAGAGACCTCAAGAGTCCCCTGAGAAGCCCCATGTCCACGAACGACGGACGGTGGCAATAGATCCCGAAAGCCTCTAGATCAGCCGCGCGTGGTGTGCTTGCATGTGTCCCAACCATAATGTGTTGACTTGGATCCTCGGTTTCAAACGACCAGGCCCTTCGTCTCATCTCCCGCTGACCAGCCTCCCCCCCTCCCCCCGCCGCCTGCTCCTGCTGCTGCGCTCCACATGATCATTCCGTCCAACCCTCCACAAGTTGCGTGGCCCCATCGGGACCTCCACCGAGGGCCTCAGTGGCTGCGTTCGCATACCTTCTCCACACACTGTCGGCGGACCTCTCACACGTTTCGTGGCCCCATTGGGACCTCCGCACAAGGCCCAATTGGCTGCGAACACATACCTTGTTCCGCACAATTTCTGCGCAAACCCCCACTCGCTTCGTGGCCCCATGGGAACCTCCACAAAAGGCCGGAGTGGCTGTGTTCGCATACTTTCTCCGCACCATGTCTGCTCACCCCTCACATGTTTCGTGGCCCCAGGGGGCTCCACCTGAGACCTCAGTGGCTGGGTTCGCATACCTTCTCCACGCCAGTTCGGCGCACACATCACAAGTTTCGTGGCCCCATCGGGACCTCCAGAGAAGGCCTGTGGCTGCGTTCGCATAACTTGTCCACACCAATCTGGCGGAAGCCTCACACGTTTCGTGCCCCATCGAGACCTCCACCTAAGGCTCCACTGGCAGCGTTCGCAGACCTTCTCCACACAATGTCTGCGGAGCCCTCACACCTGTTTCCTGTCACTATTGGGAGCCCCACTGACGGCCCCACTGGCTGCGATCATTTACGTACCTTCGCCACCATTCGGGCGCACCCCTCACACGTTTCGAGGCAGTCCACGTAGGGAACTCCACCGAAGGCCTCAGTGGCTGCGTTCGCATACCTTCTACACACCATGCGGGCGCATTCCTCACACGTTGTGGCCCCATAAGAACCTCCACCGACGGCCGAAGTGGCTGCGTTCGCATACCGTTTCCACACCATTTCTGCACAGACCCCTACAGGTGTCGTGGCACCCTAAGGACCTCCACAGACGGCCACAATGGTCGTGTTCGCATACCTTCACCACGCCAGTTGGGCACACCCGTCACACGTTGCGTGGCCCCGTAGGGAACTCCACCGAAGGCCCCAATGGCTGCGTTCGCATACCATTTCCACACCATTCCCGTGCACCCCTCGCACGTTTCGTGGCCCCATGGGAACTCCACACCAAGCGGGCGTACCTCTCACTCATCTCGTGGCCCCATAGGGACCTCGACAGATGGCCCCGCTGGCTGTGATGGCATACCGTCTCCACACCAAGCGGGCGCACCCCTAACACGCCTCGTAGCCCCATAGGGACCTCCACCGAAAGTCGAAGTGGCTGCGTTCGCATGCCCCTTGGACACCATTCAGGCGCACCGCTCACACGTTTCGTGGCCCCATAAGGACCTCGACCGAAGGCCCCAGTGGCTGCGTTCGTATACCATCGCAACACCATTCTGGCGCACCCCTCACGCGCATCGTAGCCCCACGGGGAACTCTGCGTTCGCATTCTACACATAATTCCTGCGCAATCCCTCACACGTTTCGGGGCCCCACAGGGACCTCCACTCACGAACACTATGGCAAGATTCGCATGCGTGACCACGCCCATCTCGACACACCCGTCACACGTTTAGCAGATAAACCGGAACGGGCTGCATCCAGATGTAATCCGTTACGGCTGGCACCTGTAACAATATCAGCAATCACCTGACTTGTGGCACTCGCAGCTGCGTATGTTGGGTCATTCGCCATGCTAATCATTGTTTTGAACACCTTGCTTCCGGGTTCTATTGGCCTCTGGCCGATCCCGCTGGCCTTCTCACCCAATTTAGCCTTCAGATGGCATCCTCGACAGCTACGATAGTCCAAGATGGCCACGGAGACGGTCAAAATAGCCCAAGAAGGTATCCAAGACGGCTACGATGGCGTCAAGTCGGCCCACGAGGACTCCCAGCCGGCAAAAGACGCACTCCAGATAGCCCAAGTGGCCCATTAGAATCCACCAGAAGGCGCCATGAGGACATCGAGGAGGCCAACATCATGGATTTTCCCCTAGGTGTTCCAATGGTGTTCGCGTTTTTGGCTACTTCGGGCTTCCGACATCCGAAGACGGTCTCAGAGGCCTCTAAGATAGCCCAAAGACGGCGCCAAGATGCCCCAAAGGGCCCAAGAGGGCCCAAGAGCGCCCCAAGAGGCCCCCAAGAGAGCCCTATGAGGACCCCACGGCCACACAAACCTCCAAGACGACCTAAAGCACACGAAGATGGTCCCATCACGGCCCAGAGGGGCCTCCAAGGGGGCCTCCGAAGGCCAGGAAGCCCCTAAGAAGCACCCATAGGCCTCCAAGAGGCGCCCAAGAGGCCTCAGGAGGCCCTCAGAAGCCCAAAACAGGCCCCCAGTCGTGCCGAAGAGGTCCCCGAGAGGCCTCATTGTCCTTCTCCTTCTCCTCCTCCTCCTCCTCCTCCTCCTCCTTGCACACACCACGGTGCTGCTCAAAATGCAGATCGAGGAGCTGACAGCGGCGATCGAGAAGTGCAGGGAGGTCGGTGCCTACCTCAAGGACGGGAGCCGCCTGTACAAAGGGCCATACCCGTGGGAGCTGGACTACACGAGGTACCAGTGCGACGAGCTGGAGGGTTTCTACAGTAAGTGGACGCACAGCGACAACGGCTGGGGCTACGACGTGGTCGTGAAGGAGGGAGCGCCCACCCAGGGCGGAGAAGGGCGTGCAGAGGCCGAACCCATTATCAGCACCCAGCCCCAGCGTCCACCGTGCAGGTACCCAAGCCCAGCGGTCACGGGGTGGACGATGCATGGCGTGAAGATCGTGAAGCCGCAGCAGCAGCCGCCGAGGCAGGAGACGGCGCAACAGCAGCAGCCGATGCAGCACCCCAGCAGCAGCGATATCAGAACGTACGACCAGGAGGCAGCACGCGCTGCAGGATGGGGCGTTGGCATCGGCCCGAGCAGCAGCACGAAGATCATTGATGGCGTTGAGGTGTGAATGAAGCCGCTGCCTGCCTGCCAGCCTCGCCAGTATCGGGTCGGGCGAAAGGGGGGGATAGCAAAGGGGGGGGTTGAGAATCAGCTCACGTAGCTGATTTTCCTGGTGCCTCCCGGCGCCGGGAGGCGGCCATGTATCGAGGAATGGACCCCTCGGCGGGGCCGAAACCAGCTGCATGCAGCAAATTTCGTACCCCCCCCTTTCCCAACCCCCCCCTTTCGTCCGGCCCGACAGTATAGCGCCGGTAGCACTGTGCCAGTATCGCCCCAGCAGCTGCGCCTGCCAACGCCTCCGAGCAGGAGGGTTAGAAGGCACTCTGCCTCGCTCTCGTTATAATGTGCCCGCCTGCAGGACGAGGAAGGGGTGGGAGAGAGTGGGGGAGTGAGTCGTGGAGAGTGGGGGAGTGTAGAGATCCTCAGCAGGGGTCGCCCCGCCCCCGAGCAGCGGGGGCAGCGCCCCCTGCCCGCTATTTCTTTTCGCTCTTCCACGCTACCGAGAGCGGGGTCTCCCGCTGGAGGGGCACGAGGACCACCGTCCACGGAGAGGGAGCCTCGACGCCCCAGGCTGCCCCCCTGAAAGAAAGGGGGCTAGTATCCATATACTACCCTAGGGGCCCTTTTCGAGGCGCAGAGCCCCAGCTGGGGCGCTCGAAGACCTGGACCCCCGACGGGCCTGTACCTTTACCTCCTCCTCCTCCTCGCCTCCTCCACAAATCCGGCCACGACCACACCAATACCGAAAGTCGTCCCAACTGAGGTAATGGCATCCCCCTTATTTCTGCGCCCAACACAAAACATCGAGGATCATCTTCCCCCCGCGGAGGAACTGCCGATATTGAAGGTGTTGGTGCCGACGTCTGTCGGGTCGCACGACACGGGGGACAGGGGCGGGGGTCGCAGATCGAAAAACAGATTTCCCGGCGCCTCCAAGCACTGGAGACGCATATTGGGGAAACCCAAAGGTACCGATACCGCTACTCCCCGGACCTCTCTTGGGGTGCGTTCTGACCAGTATCTCGGGGCGAATCCAGCGGTGACGACGAGGACCTCCCAGGAGGCCCCAACAGGGAAAATCCGAGGGAAGGGGTAGAGGTCTGGGCGCAGCTGCATGCAGCAGACTTCGGAGGAACGGCGACTCCTGGGCACCCGAGCACGTGCCCTCCCCGGGAGACGCCGCCACGGCGGCGCGCGAGGGGGGCGGGGGCGGGGCGAGCGGCCCCAAGCTCGCTCTTGAAGCGGGTCATGGTCGTCAGCCGGCACGCGGGCGGGAACAGCTGGTCCTCCTCGCGGCAGCCCCCCCTCTAGGTTTATGTTGCCCCCTCTCGTACTTACGGACGACATCCCAGAAATTCGCCGGCCCAACGGGCCAGAGGCGTGCTCAGATCTCCGGTAACTGGTAAACAGTATTTCTGGTTCGCGCGCGCGGGGCGGCCCCTGGGGGTCCCTGGATCAAAAGTACCCCGAGAGGAGCCCGGGACACGCCCGAGACACGCCCGGGACACTCCCCCAGATCCTCCAGGATCGCCCCAAGAGGGCCCCAAGAGGCCCCCAACACAATCCAAGAGAGGTCCGAGACGCCCGAAGATCGCTCCACGGCGCCCAAGATGGCCTCCAGACGACTCAAGAGGTCTCCAAGATGACCCAACAAGCCTCCAAGATGCCCCAAGAGGCCTCCAGGAGCACTCCCAAGAGGGCCCCAAGAGGCAAAAGTCAATGCTTTTCTTAGGTTTTGGACAGATTTGGGCGTTTCAACCTTTTCGGTTCCCCGACGCCCCTAAGCGACTCAAGAGGCCTCCAAGATCGCCCCAAGAGGGCCCAAGAGGCCCTTAAAAGGGCCCCAAGACGGCCCAAGACGGCTCCAAGACGGCCCCAGAGGCCTCCAGGACGGCCCAAGAGGGCCCCAAGAACGCCCCCAACACTGTCCAAGAGAGGTCCGAGACGCGCGAATATCGCTCCACGACGCCCAAGATGGCCTCCGGACGGCCCAAGACGTCTCCAAGATGGCCCAAGAAGCCTCCAAGATGCCCCAAGAGGCCTCCACGAGAACTCCCAAGAGGGCCCCAAGAGGCAAAACAACTGTTTTTTTTTTTTAGGTTTTGGACAGATTTTGGCGTTTGAACCTTTTCGGCTCCCCGACGCCCCTAAACGGCTCAAGAGGCCTCCAAGATCGCCCCAAGAGAGCCCAAGAGGCCCCCAAGAGGGCCCCAAGACGGCTCCAAGACGGCCCCAGAGGCCTCCAGGACGGCCCAAGAGGGCCCCAAGAGGCCCCCAACACAATCCAAGAGAGGTCCGAGACGCGCGAATATCGCTCCACGACGCCCAAGATGGCCTCTAGACGGCCCAAGACGTCTCCAAGATGACCCAACAAGCCTCCAAGATGCCCCAAGAGGCCTCCAGGCACTCCCAAGAGGGCCCCAAGAGGCAAAAATCAATGCTTTTTCTTAGGTTTTGAACAGATTTGGGCGTTTCAACCTTTTCGGTTCCCCGACGCCCCTAAACGGCTCAATAGGCCTCCAAGATCGCCCCAAGAGGGCCCAAGAGGCCCCCAAGAGGGCTCCAAGATGGCCCAAGACGGCTCCAAGACGGCCCGAGAGGCCTCCAAGACGGCCCAAAGAACGCTTCAAGAACGCTCCAAGAGGGGGTTCACGAAACAGAATTTCAAGCTCTCGACCCTTAGAGGCCCCCAGGAGGCCCCAAGACGCCCCCAAAGGCCCCAAGAGGCCCCCAAGAGGCCCTCAAGAGGCCTCAAGAAGCCTCCGAAAGGCCCTCTGGAGGCCGCCAAAAACCCTCTGGAGGCCCCAAGGACGCCTCCAAGACTCCAGCCAGACGCGACTTGGGAAACGCGGGTCGGGGTGGTCCTCCTCCCCCGCGTTCGGCCTCCAGCCTCGAGCCTCGACCCCCCACGACGACGACGACGACGCCGGCGGGCGGCGGCGGCGGGCGGCGGCGGCGGCGACGACGACGACAAAGGCGCTCCTCATCGCTCCTCATCCCCCTCCTCCTTCCTCCTCCTCCTCCTTCTCCTCCTTTTCCTCCTCCTCCTCCTCCTCCTCGTCCTCCTCCTCCTCCTCCTCCTCCTCCTCCACTCGGCTTTTCAAGCTTGAGCCAGAAAGGTCAGCGGGCAAGCAACCGTCCCTGCTCTATCTCTTCATTCACTATTCCCTTCTAAATGCATTGCGCCGGGAGGCCGGCAATATTATCCACAACCTAACACTGGTACCTGCAATGTCTCGCGTGGCTGAGCAAGGCGGCACAAGCGTATGACGAAATATGATTATATACAGTCGGCAAGGTCGAAAGTCGACTGGTGGAACGTCGTTTCCACCGAACAGAAAACAGTACAGGAGAGGTAGTTGCGGCTCTGCACATACAAAAGAAGGGTAGGCCCACGGTGTGCCTGTCACGAGGAACCGACCTCGAAGAGGCAAGTCGCTGAAAAGAATTCACCAGCCATCAGGTCCGAATGTAGCTGGTGCCAGGGGCGCGTGGTCAGAAAAAACCACGCTGCTCGTCTAGGAAAAAGATTCCATCATCACTGTATTAGTCCATGTTATCCATGCCCGTGGGTGTCATCCTCTCAAGGTCGCCTCCGGTGTACTCGTCCTTCCTCTTTGCCTTGGCGGTCACCAACATCAAATGAGAAAACTTCAAATAGATCGTCTCCAAGAAGTTCTGGAATATCTCATCAGTAGTGCAGTGCTTCGTCAGGCTGTTGGCGAGCATGTCCTTCGTATCACACCAGAATGTATGGCGAACCTTGTGAATTTGTCGTTTTTCTCTGAGAGAAACTATGATGAGTCGCTGCGATCTGTCCTGAGGTACTCCTTTCATGCCCGTGCATAGTTCGTAGAGGTCTCGGCAGTCAGTCATCGTATCGATTGGGATGCCATAGCAGGCGTCGGCGTCTGCCTCAATAAGTTCTTCCAGTGTGGGCTGACTCGGCCAGGTCAGCTCAGTAGCTCGCATCGCAATCAGCTAGCAGTGGGTGAGACTACCGTGCTGGCTGAGAGACTCCGCATGAGAAGTGCTGTGGGAAATCCTCTTGGCTCTCTTGGCCGAATGTACTAAGCAGTGTCCATATCCCTTGCTCCAGTCTGGTTTGATCTTTCCAGAGGAGCTGAGGCCGTATACTCGATCGGTCATCTTGATAGCCTTCTGACCCTCAACTGCGTACGATGTCTTACTGCATGCATGACTGGCACCGGCTACTGCAACCATACGACAGGGAGGCTCCAACTTCAAGGATATCAGGCCAAGATGTGAGTACTACCAAGCTCGTCTTGTGATTGTATTTGCCATCTTCAAATGAATGATCTTGACGCTGCAGACGTGCTGCTGCAGAACAACCACATCGGCAAGAATATCCACACGAGTATAGCACAAGAACAGTAGCGCACCAACGGCACCGCGCAGAGTAGTCGTCTGTGTTGGCGTGAGCTTGGCGTCGTCCTTGGCACCCTTGGGTATCTCGACAAGCTTGATGGCCTTGGCAAATTCTGTCTGATGAAGTGTATAGCCATTCTTGACCTTTTCGCATGTTATGCCGACGTGCTGCGTGGGAGGCTTGACCACTGATAACTTGCCAAAGCGTTCTTCCATCTTGACGAACAGTACCTTCTTGAACTCAGTCTCTCCTGCAACGCTGGCGTCGTCCACGTGCAATGTAGCTTCACCGACTAGGACGTTCTCAGCGTCGTGCCAGGTGTAGAAGTTTTCGTCGTAGTGAGAGACTCTGGCTGAGGTGAACTTGGCCAGGAAATATCGTGAACATAGCTGCTAAAGAAGCGGCGCATCATTGAGACCATCCATGGCCTTGAGAAGTTCCAGACCATATTCGGCAACATTGCTGGACGGTGCTCCAGGAAACTTGAGGTCTCGAAGATGAAACCAAACATTGTCGGGAACAACTACGATAACCTTGCGCTTGATGTCGGGCATCGGTACCTTCAGTGCCCGGCATGCTTCTTGCAGATGTTCGAAACTGAAGCCCTGCAGAAAGGCGCTGCCAACGTCCCACTCCTCGATGTCCCAGCCGTTTCTAGCTGCCTCGCGAACGAGAAACTTCTGAGAGAGTCTGGTGGCAGTGGTACTATGCTTTGCAAGTAGGTGTTTCTGCGGGTCCAGGAAGCCACGGCAACATAATCTGCTCTTGATGATGCGTGACCACGCGCCGTCGGCTGCCTGTTTCCACTTCCATTTGCGAACCCAGACACAGCTGATGGGTAGCATGTTGGTGTAGTCGAGCTTGGTCCTGAAAACGTCATGATTCACGAAGTTGGCAAGCTCGGCGCGGTCGGCCTTGAGGATGTCCGCCTCGAAACGAACCATTTCCTCTGGGGTAAGGTTGTCCGTGTCGGCGTCGACCCTGAAACACGAACCGTCTCGTACATCCAACCAGAAGCAGGTGATGCGCTGCCAGGGGCCTGGCAGTGTGACGTCAGCAGTTGTCGCTGCACAGGTCCCCTTGGCATTAAGATGCGTCTCCGCTGCTGGGAAGCTCGAGGCGAGAAAGGCGGCTCCTGCTTCCTTCATTTCCTTGTCGTACTCGTGGTACATGTCGGCCATCATGTCGTGTCTGTCCTGGCGTTCCTGGAAGTACGATCCACAAAGCGCGTGGTCGGTGACCTTGTCGAAGTAGAAAGGCGGAGACCAGTCGTCCTGATAAGACGGTAGACTCGGCTCGTCACTGTACTCGAGCGTGGGCTGGCCCTCTGCTGCTGGCTCCGCAGGAGCACGTGCTTCCTCCAGAATCGGGGGAAGCGGTGGTGCTGATGCGCTCCCTGACGAGGCGGAGGCCTGAGGGCCAGCGGACCGAGAACCAGTCGACGTCGATGATGTCGATGTGGTATTCGACCTCTTAGCCGATGGTTCCTCACGCGATGCGTCGCACTTGGTGCCCGAGGTGTCTCCAACAGGAGGCGTTACTGGAGTGGCCGGGTATTTTGTCTTGTCAAACAACTGGCGTGAGCGAGAGCGGTCAGATACTCCAGAGTCCTCGAGAATCGGCAGGTGAGGAAGATCATCGTGTTCGGGAGCTGGCTATTCGATAGTAGGCTACTCTTGCTCTTCTTCTGGATACTGTAGTGTGTCAGAGCGGCCTGAGCGGTTTGAATATCCGTCTCGATCGCGTGGTTGGTTCGATCGTCGTCCACCTCGTAGGCTACGAGGGGTTCTGCTGACTGGTATCAAGAGACGATGAGGACCGAATGCTCTCGTCTGCGATCGAGGGGTTCTTGCGTTCCATGCTCGAGGGTGTATCATTTCTGCCAGAGATGCTTGAGCG